TATATATAGTTCATATATATGAAATATATTTCATATATATAGTTCATAATATTTCATATATATAGTTCATATATATGAAATATATTTCATATATATAGTTTATATATAAATTACTATATATACAACTACATATATAGTAATTTATCTATCTATATATAAACTATGTATATAGTAGTTTATATATATAGTTTTTATATATATACTAATTCTTATGTACTCTTGTACTGGGTGACTTTAGCAATATATTAGGTAACAATTATGAATAATTACTGGAGTGCTGGTCACCTGGTAAAGATTTATAAACGTTCACCATTATTGATGTTGTTTTAAATCAGCTAACACGGCTCAGCGCCTGTGGCTCAAGTGGCTATGGTGCCAGCCACATACACCTGAGCTGGCGGGTTCGAATCCAGCCCGGGCCTGCCAAACTACAATGGTGGCTGCAACCAAAAAATAGCGGGGCATTGTGGCGGGTGCTTGTAGTCCCAGCTACTTGAGAGGCGGAGGCAGGAGACTTGCTTGAGCCCAGGATTTGGATGTTACTGTGAGCTGTGATGCCATGGCACTCTACCCAGGTCGACAGCTTGAGGCTCTGTCTCAAAATAAATAAATAAATAAATAAATCAGCTAACACAAGCCCTGTACATAATAAACACTCAATAATTGGAGTTGCTACTATTTTGAGAGTCTAAATTTAATATCCTTTATTTTGTAGTCTTTGGATGTTGCTTCTTTTATGACCTCTTTTTTATTATCCACACCCCCCCCCCCCGTTTGCCTTGCATCCTCTACAGCTGAGCATTTGAACCATCTCATCATTGACTTTGACATGGGGTCCTCCAAGAAGGTCACTCTCACAGTCCTCAGCCGGGAGCAATCAGAAGGGGTTGGAGCAAGAGTCCGCAGAAGTATTGGAAGACCTGAGGTATGCTGATTGGGTGGCTGCTCCTTGCTTTCTTTTCAGAAGGGACTATTGGGACATAGACGATGACTTGAGACTAGGGGGCCGAGTGCAAACTCTAAACTTTGCAATTGGGGCCCCATGCAGGTCAGCCCCAGCCCAAAGGGGGTTTCTGTAATGTGGCTACAGATATTCTGGACAGAAGGTGCAGCTGAGCTTCATGAAGTGTGTCTGATTTTCTCTGCTTATCCATGTCCTGCCCTGGGCTGATCTGCTGTCTGTCTCAGCATGCACATCACTAAACATACCCACCTTACTGTCCTCAAGTTTATATGCCCACGCTTCAAAGCACCTGGAGTAACTCTGATTCCCAATTCCAAATGCCCAGGAAAGAGAATCTGCTTGGCTCAGCGTGGGTTAGGTCTCTACTTCTGGCCAATAAGCCATGGCCAGGATTTGGATTTTTGGAGAGACTGCTGGCACCTAAGTCTGTAGACTTCAGGTGAGGGGCAGGTATAGATGGGGACTCGCTCTCTGAAAGAGTGATTGTCAATTAGGGAGAAGTCTTTCAACATTACTGAATGTTTTTACTTGAATAACTGGGAGACTTGGGATTTGCAGGAAAAAAATCTGACATACACAGAAAGAAAGGTATCAAATGGTGGTCATAGCCCAAAGAATATAGCCTCCAGGACTATATCATATTCAAAACCAATTCTTTTAATAAAATCAGAAATACATTAGGGAAATGGATTCCATTTTGAACAGTAAGGCTGGCTTGCCCCTCTTTTTAAACGCTATTTTGTTATTTTCATACTACTTTGTTGCCAGACCTAAGCTTTATACCACTTTCTCACTTGTAAAAAATTCATGCCTTTCCTCAGCGAGAGCTGACTTACACTGTTGATAGATTTAATATTTTTAAAAAATTATTTATGTTTTAAATCGACAAATAAAAATTATATCTATTTATGGTATACAAGATGGTGCTTTGATTATATATATTGGAAATGGGTAAATCAAGGTAATTAACATATACATTGCCTCACATCCTTTTTTTTTTTTTTTTGTGGTGAGGACACTTAACATCTCTCTTAGGAGGCTGAGCATAGGGGCTCAGCTCATGCCGGCAATCCCAGCACTCTCCAAGGCCAACGAGGGAGGATCCCTTGAGCTCAGGAGTTTGAGACGAGCCTGAGCAAGGGCGAGACCCTGTCTCTAGTAAAAGTAGAAAAATTAGCCAGGTGTTTCGTGGTTGCCTGTAGTCCCAGCTACTTGAAAGGTTGAGGGAGGAAGACTGCTTGAGCCCAGGAACTTGAGGTTGCAGTGAACCAGGCTGATGCCACAGCACTCTAGCCTAGAGCAACAGTGAGACTTTGTCTCGGAGGGTGGGGAAGGAAACCCTTTTAGTAAATTTCAAGTGTACAATACCTTGTTATTTATTGTTGTCATCATGCTGTGTAGTGGATCTCTTGAGTTTATTCCTCCTATTTAACTAAAACTTTTCCCTTTTGACCAACATCTCTCCATACCCCCACCCCGTCAATGGTAACCACAACTCCATTCTATTCTTTTACAAGTTTGATTTTTTTTTTTAGATTCCACACCTTGAGTATGGTCATTTGTATTTGCCTCCCTGTGCCTGGCTTATTTCACCTAGCATAAAGCTGATTCGCCATTGAGTCAGGGGCAGAACTGTCATCCGACTCTCCATCAGCCCCATCAGATTTGCCATTTCTCTTTCCAACACTGGATTCTTGTTTATCCCCACATGTCTTTTGAGGTTCATCAAACATTGTTTTCTGAAGGATACACACAAACAGAATTATTCTAACAGTTAAATGCATGGGGGATGTCGGGAAGGTGCAGATGGAGGTGGTGTCAAATTCTATAGGGCTACATCATCAACAGAACAATTGGAAAGAATTCTGGGACCCTGAAGACACCTGTTAGTAAACCATCATTGACTGTTGAGGGTAGCTAATACTTCAATTAGTCCATCTGCCAGGAATACATCTGAGAATTTCTTAACTGTTTTTGTCCTGTGAACCCCTTTGGCAGTCTAGTAAAACCTAACAAATACTTTTCAAAACAATGTTTTAATGTTTTAAAATACAGAAAATAAAATACATAAGATTGCCAAGGGAAACTTTTATATTGAAATGTGGTTAGCAAAGTTAAAAAATTCATATTCTAGTAAGTCTACATTGAATAAGATTGGGTGGCAGTTGTAATAACTCCTGAATTTCAAAGCTGTGAGGAGCATGAATGATACTTCAATAAACCTACACACAACTGTAATATGATATGAAAATGGCTTTGATTTCTGTTGGTGACAAAGTCACAGGTACTAGGAATTTACTGTGGTTCATTACATTTATAATTGAAGAAAACGTTCAATTTCAGCAATGTATAAAAAAGATAATGTGTCATGACCAATATATATTATCTGAAGAGAGCAAATTTGGTTTAGTGTTAGAAAATCTATTTAATTTACTACCACTAAAAGATGAAAGGAAAACGAAGCATGTAGGTATCTTAATAGTGAAGAAAAAACATTCAAAAGAATTAAACATCCATTTATGTTTGCGAAAAAGCCCAACAATTTCGCAAATTAGAACCAGAAGGGAAACTCCTTACCTTACGAAGAGACTTGAACAACTTAGTCACCAGTGATAACTTAAAAGGCAATCTATGTAAAATCAGGGAAGAGACCCGGATGTCTACCTCCATCATTTCTACTCAATACTGTTCTAACAAAGACAAGAAAAAGAAATAGAAATTGTAAGGATTGAAAAAAATCCCATTATTTGCTACCGAATGGCTGTTACTTGGAATATTACTTCCAAATATTCCCTCCCTCCCTCCTTCCCGTGATAGGATTATATACCCCCATCCATTTTTAGGTGCATTCCCCATGGGTCCCACAGGGAGGGATTAAGTGCCCTCCTCTCTGACTTTGGGCTTGGCCATGTCAAGTGCTTTGGCCAATGGGATATAAGGTGATTGTGCATGATTGATGTGGTTTATTTTTGCTCTTGCCCTTGACTATGAGAACAGCATGCTTCCATAGTGGCCACTGTTTCAGAGTGATAAAGACATACAGAGTCCAGGTGAGGCCAACAAGCCCCACAAAAACTGCAGTCTGCCCAGCTTTAATCTAACGTAAGCAGTTTCTTGTGAATTGTTGGGCAAAGCTTATTGATAAGTACATTGGTGATAGGAATGTCTGAAAGAAAACCTCAAAGAAGCTACAGGTGAGTATTAAAATTAATAAGAGCTTTGCAGTGTTCAAAATCTCCTTTTTTATTCCTATTTCTAATTTTCAGCGTCTAGCTGTTGCAAAGGTAATTTTCAAAGGCTGTTTGCAATATAATACCATTAAAAATTCAAGTAAGCTAGAGATTTTTTAAAATATATGTAAAACCTTAGGGAGAAAATTACAAATCCTTCTTGAAAGACATTTTAAAAGATGTCAAGAAATGTAGATAACCACATTTATATTGAGGAAATATTAAGGAAAATGGAATGTTATATAAGTGGTAGTTCTTACCAAATTAATCCATAGATTTAAAGCAATTTCACTCAAAAGATCAACATTTTTATTTATAGAATTTGATAAATTTTCTGCAGTTTATGTACAATAACAAATGGCTAAGAATAAGCAAGACAATCATACTGACGTGCTGGCGACAACCACATCTGTTTCTAATTCTCATTTGAGCCCGAGACTTATCTTCAGTTGCCTGCTAGCCTTTGCACAGTGTAATGTACACTGAAGATGAATCATTCTGTTTATACAGGAAATATTTATCTAAATACCTCAAACTCAACAGGGCCTAAAATAAAGTCACTATGGCTATTTCAAGGCAGCTTTTGTTCTTTTGAATGGCACAATCGTCTTCCCAGACATTATAGCTAGACATTTGGGAATCGTCTAATGAATGCTCTTGCTTTTTGCCTCCTAAATCTCTACCCAGTCACACAACCCCTCTCCGCTGCCACGGCCATTGCCTTAGCTCTGGCCTTTGCCCTTGCTCAGACTATTGAAATGACCTTTTAAATACGGTGTCTCCTTTCTTCCTTTCCCAAACCATCTTCCACAGAGTGATCTTTCTAAATCTGATCATCTCACCCACTGATTAAAACCCATCACCTTCAAGATAAAATCCAAACTCCTTTAAGGCTTGGCCTCTCTCTGCCCATCTCTCACCACAATTCCATGTGTATCTTTTGACCCAATGGAGTCGTTTCCTTGCAGTTCTTCAAGCACACCAAGCTGGTTTTCTCTTCTTCTACCTGGAATATCCTCCCTTCTCCCCTGTGTACTTGCTTAACTCCTACATGGACTTCAAGACCCAGCTGAAGTGTGATTTTCCTGATAGAACCTTCTCTGATCCCACCTACTCTCATATAGCCAAAGTTATCTTCCTCCAGAGCATTTATTGTCACATTGATTTTTTCATCTGTTCCTCCATGAGATTATTCATCTGTTTAGAATACAGGCTGTATCTCGTTTGTACTTAACTATTTATATCATAGATGGTTATAAAATGTTTGTCAGCTCTTTGTGCCTCTCATAAAATGTCAACTTTCTGACATAATTAGGGAATCCATGGTGTGTGTATGTGTGTAAAGAGCTCTTCAAAGCAGTTTCTGTTGCAAAAAGTTGCTCATTGGCCATGTAGCTTTTGATGAGACTTGCTGGATCTGTTGATGAGTGTAGCCCCTGGCAGCATGGGTTAAAGGAACATCTAATGTGATGAATTTTATTTTTATTTCAGTTAAAAAATCTAGACCCGTTCTTGCTATTCGATGAATTTAAAGGCGGTAAACCAGCTGGATTTCCCGATCATCCACATCGAGGTTTTGAAACGGTAAGTAAAATAATTTGAGTGTGGAAGTATGTGTTTTAAAAGTTGCTCTCACTTCTAATAGAAAATTCTATTTTAAAAGCAATAAAGAATGGGCTAAAATTAAATTATAAGTTGCTGACTTACTACTATAGAATTGCAGTATCTATTTTACATAAAGTATACTCAAATTTAAATATTTACTGTTTTTAATATTCTTTAAATTTGTTCCGCTGGAGACATTCCTATTTGAGCAGTTAATAAGAGCAACAATTGTCTTCCTAAAATATTTTTATAATTACAATAATTTGTTGGAGATAGAAGAAGCTACTTAAGATGTGATTAAAATAACTTTATTTATAAAATCTGTTTTTATACAAGAATTCTCAGATAGTTCTTGGATTGTCTTTTGCAATTTATAATACTATATAATTGACCAGGTAAATGGTTCTGAGAATTCTTGTATAGAAACAGATCCTGCTTCCAGAAACTTCTTGGTTCATTCCACTTTGACGCTGCAGTGGTGATTCTTAACCCTGCCCATTTTTCACCTCCTTAACCAGTCTGCACACAGAGGGGAGCAGAGATCATGCCCTATACTTCTTTAGCCCCCAACACACAGCACACACCCCAACATACAAAAGATCACTCTACACCAATACGTGCATATCAGCAGGCTTCAATAAATATTGATATTTAGTTATTCACTTACTGGCTCTGCAAATACACTAAGCCTTCACAAGCCCTGGCCTGTTTCCTAAGAATACAAGTTACTGTTTGTAACCCCCAAATCAATACTTGTAGTGCTTTCCTGGATCATGGACATGTGCAGAGTGGCAAAAAATCAGAGTTGCTCAGTGTGCACATTCCCAGCTGAGGCTGAACAAGGAGATGCTCTGCTTTCTTGTTTCAGCTCTAAAAACATAATAACCAAGTGTCCTTTCCATAGTCCATTTAGTGGCACGTGTTTCATATTTTCTTGACTTTTGTTGGTGATTTTACTGTTTGAAATGGCTCCCAAGCGCAGTACAGCAGTCCTGCTAGTGTTTCTAAGCATGAGAAGGCTGTGATGGGCCTTATGGAGAAAAATACGTGTATTAGATAAACTTTATTCAGATATGAGTTGGAGGCATGCTGGCCGTGAGTTTAATGGTAATCAGTCACCAATATAGATATATTAAACACAACGTCTTTAAACAGAAACAAGGATAATACAAGGTCACATATTGATTAGTTGAGAAGATCATGACCAGAGGCTTGAAGGAACCAAATCCCGTATTTCTCCTAAGACCAATGGTTTAGTAATCACTAATCCAGTGATCACGGTGAATTTATAGTACATAACTATCCCAGATGATGAGATTCGACTCTATCAGTTTCCCTTCGGAGTGTCTGTAAGCCAGGCACTTAACTGCGTCTTAATAATGTGAACTTTAAAAATTTAAAGCCAGGTCAACCAGTAGTCTCTTATCACCTCCTCTCTGCAAAATTTTCTCAATTTTACAGGCTGGTTGTAAACTCTGAAAATTTTGACTCTATAAGGAAGGAAGTTATAATCATCTGTGAACCTGTGATGTTATCTTACCATCTAGAAACAGATGTTATTATTTTCATGTATTTTCTTCCAGTACTTTTTTTCTGGTATATTAATGTTTTGTGTGTTCTTTTTACTTAACATTATACTCTTAGCATTTTCCAAAAGTTTTTAAAAATTAATTTTTAATGGCACTATTAAGCATTTACTATGACTGCTGCACCAGCTAATATCACCACAGGGATGGATGAAGGTACCTGTATTTCCCTTGGGATCACTAACACGAGGTGTTTACTTGACTGTTCTTATCTTTGCCATTTTGACAAGTGAAAAATAATGCTTTATCATAGTTTAAATTTGTATTTCTCCCATCAGAGTGATATTGATTTTTTTTTTTCATTTTAAAACATCTGTTCACTGTACATATTTATATCTTTGGACTATTTTTTTCCTTACTGAGTCGCTGGCATTATTGTTTTGTGGAAATTCTTTACATGAGTGTTTTAAGGAAATCAGACCATTTTTAATGATAGGAGTTGCATAAATGTTAAGCAGGATTAGGCTTGTTTTACATGCCTTTAAAGGTAAACCTTTGGATACAAAGCATATGTACAAACCAATAGAAGGAAAAACAATCCATTATGCAAAGACAGAATAGGCTCCCTGGATCACAGTGGTTTTCCTGAACCTGGAATAATACTAGGTCTAAGTATGGGCTGAATGTTCACCTAATGAGTATGTCATCAGGATCAGCATTCCTCACAGTAGTCAGTTCTGTGTTAGAGCTCACATTTATTTTTTTTAAATAAAAATTAAATTATGCTCTACTAACAAATATAAAATATAATTAATATCATATTTTGAGTGCGTGCTCACATTTATTTCAACCGATAGTAATACATGATCTAAGAAATGTCAAGAATATTGTTCTATGAAATTCTTATTACTATCTCAAGTGTGGCCCAAGAAGCAACAGTGGTATCTCCTGTAATGTCACACTCTACCCCAGAGCTACTAAATTAGAATCTGCCTTTCAACATCATCAAGTGATTGATATAAACATTACAGTTTGAGACATGCTGGTCTAGATGACCTTCCAAGCCGGAAGTATTATGGTTCTATGATATCAGAGCAAGAACTTGATTTTACTAAGATTAATGGCTAATCATTTTTTAAAACTTAATGCATAGGTTTGGATAACTGTATATTTTTTGCTAAAAACTTGCTCATAAATTGAGGAAGAAGGCATACCCCGGAGAAGGAGGCACACACGGCTGGTGGTCAGAAGACAAATGGAGAAATGCATCAGCATTTCCTACCAGCAGTTTGGACTCTGGGGAGGATGGTTTTCAAAGCCCTTAGTGGTCAAGGGGGAAAAATTTTGTAGTTACTCTATTTCTGATCAGGCTTTATATTGGGATGTATTGGCGGCAAGTCTAAAAGATCAGAAACAAAGAACAATCTGAAAATTATGCAAGCCTTGCCAAAGATTAGCTTGATAAAGAGGTACTTAGAGGTTAGGCATTTTTGATGACCCTTTCACTTACCCTGAGGAGGAGAAAATGTGTTTTGTGCCTTTCAAAATCACCCTTAAAGGACAGGGGTGGAATTTTCCAGGTTTTAGCATTGAAAGCCTTGTGTCCCCGGGAGCACCTCAGTCCTGAGCAAACTGGGATGGTTGGTCAGTCCTGCTTACTGAAATTTACGAACTGTTATGAGTAAACCATTCTTCCTGTTTTGCAGGGACATTTTAGGATTGTCTTGTCCCTTATGTTCTTAATTAGGCTGAGAAATGTTTTTAAAGATTTTCCACTACATGCCTCAGCAAGTCCTTTGATTTTGTTCTAGAGAACAAAACCACCCTGTTTCCAAGGGCGTACCCATCAGAAAAGTCACGCTCATATTTACGGGGTTGGTAGCCGGGCAGCGTTTGCATGCAAGGCCTGAACAATGTCCCGGAGAGGAAAGGAAGGTCCCGGTGATTCACACGTAAAACTTCTGACCGGATTCAAACCTTCCATTTCCCACACGGCCTTTTCTCCGGCTTTCTGTGCACCCCTTTGAGAAGCGAACCACAGCATCAGGGCTGAATTGAAAATGGAAAGAAAAGACTTTAAATTCAACATCTCTTTTTGAAAACTGGGAAAGAATACTTTCTCAATGTGAAAAAGACTATTGTTCAATAACCATCTTATGTCGTATTGAACACTGAGATATTAACCATCTTCCAATTATGAAAAACAAGACAAGACTGTCTTTGACCATCACAATTTAATATACTTCTGGAAACTTTGAAGCTATTGAGAAATAAAAGTTATAGCTTTTGGAAAGGAAGAGGAAAGTTATTTACTTGTAGGTAATATGATAAATAGAAGAAGTAGCCAAATCTGGCCTTGGTTGGTGAGAGGATCGGAGGAGGGAGAGGGCTTGGGATTTGTCCTGAAGTCGTGATTGATTCTGGGGCATCCCATGAATCTTAGCATATGTGGTGATTTGGCATGATTCAGGGCTGAAGCTAGCAGATTATGGGAAAGAAGCTAAAGTCACCTCCACCCCTAAGACAACCCTTGGCACCACCATACTAAGAATGTCAGCCACAACCTCTTAGTAAGTGGCTGAATATAAAATAATTATAAAAATCAATTACTTTCCTGCATTAAAGCAATAATCAGATGTAATGGTTTGGAAAAACATCCTATTCATGATAGCAATAAAACTCCATATAATTCCTGCGAAAAACACCACTCTTTCTACTTCTATAAATGTAATGATTTTTCTGGAGGCCTCCTACTTGAGTTTGTCCTCTCTAGATGAAATGGATCTGGTTTGGGTTCTATTCCAGTAAACCAGATAAACTAATATTACTAATATATGCCAATATAATGGAAAGGGTGATCTGCACCCCATTAGAATGTTCACAAAATTTAAAAGAGGGCTGCAAATCTCTCCTCTACAACATGTTTTCTAGGCAAAAGGGAATTAAAATAGTGTATGCACGCCTGAGTTTAGAAGTGGAGGCAGCGGAGTTTGGCTTTATATGGAAGTTAGAAAATGATTACGGAGGAATGAGAGCGCCCCAGTTGAAGAAATTTCACCTTCCAATGGAGAAGGTATCCCTTCTAACAGAAAGGTCTGGAGGCCTTTAGGGGAAATTTGGCCAGTTACTAAGGCCATAACGAATAAGCGAGATTTGACTCTGGACGGTGGAGGTGAAGGTGAAGGACACGGTATGGGGACATAGTAGAGCAGTGAGTGGTCTAGTCGGGCTTAAAAATTGAAAGTAAGGGCAGGAGGTTGTGGGGCGTGATGGGATCTAAAGCTGTAGATTGGGCCATTATTAGGGAAGGCCTTCAAAGCTTGCCCACTAGTATGCATGAATGACTAGTATTTAACATCCTGCACCTCTTAAGTTAACACATTTTTGTTAAAGTAGAACCATCTTTAGCCCAGAGTTGAGCTTTTTGGAGAATACTATGTTAATGGTTCTCAAATACGGGTGATTTTGCCCACCTGGGTCATTTGGCGATTTCTGCCAGTCCTTTCTGATTGTCACAACTGGAGGCTGCTGCTGCCATCTAGTGGGTAGAGGCCAGGAATGCTGCTCAACTTGTTCACAGGACAGTTTCCATAGCAAAGACTTAAAGCCTGCCCTGTGTCTGCAGGCATAGGTCACCTGAGGGAAAGCTGCAGTTTAACTGAAATCGTCTTTAAAAGTAGTCCAAATAAATTCCCACCACCCATCCACACCACATTACGATCATACACAAACCCATTCATGTCTTAGGGGTTACATTGCTAGAGTTCTTGAGTAGAAAAATTGGGGGGTGGGTGGGAAAAATGTAATAAAGACTACAAGGCAGTCACTAAAACATTATTTTATGACACCAAGTATAAGATAATGCTTTTCAAGTGAGACTAAAATTAAGTCCAAAATAAATTCACATAGATCATAGAGCAAACATAGAGCAAAGCCACTATGAAGTTATCCACCCAACAGACTTTTAAAATAAAAGGCCCAACCACACAGGATTAAGCTCAAAGGACATTTTCCATGTAATAATATTAACTACTATTTTATGGGAAAGCTCATATGTTTATGCATTACGTCAGCCTCACACCAACCTTGAAAAGTGGGAATTGTTATCCCATTTTACAGGTGAAGAAACTAAGGTTCAGAGAGGCAGTGATTTGCCCAGGTCACACAGCCCATGCAGAACAGGATTTGGTGGGTCCATCTGGTTCAAGACCCACACTGTCCACTTGTTAATGCTGACACTCCTTTCTCTACATCTGATATTCACTCAGTACATTTACACATTCAGATGATTACAAGATTTTTAACACTATTAGGGATGAGATTGCATGGGTGACCTAGATAGAGCACAGACCTGTGAACAACCCATACTCTTGCTGCTGCTGACTAACTGTGAGACCTGATGCTTTCATGGTCTAGGGATCCAGATTTTCCTACCTGTGAGTGCAAAATAACGCTCCCACTTATACTCTGAACTTCCAGTATAATGAGGAAATGGGTAGATTTATTGTACCTGGCTGCTGAAGGACAATCATTTATCTTCTTAAAGCTGTAAAGCAACTGTTCATGATCTTTAATAATAATTAAATTCAGACCTTAATCATTTATGGTGTTTTATTACAATCTAAAACATTTTTAAATCTGCTGTATACTCTTTTGTCCTACCCCAGCTTTGTAGCAAAATTTCATTCTTGTAAGGTTCACCTGGAAGGATGCCTCCTCCATGAATCACTCCTTCATTCCTCCAGATTCGCCATCAGAATCAATCTTTCTTCTGTGTTTCCGCTGGGCTTGCTTGTACTTCTCTTTAGCTTTCAATTCTCTTGCCTGTATATTTTAGTAGTTTCTGCCCTGCTAGAGTGGTAGCTGCCTGCAGGTAAGCAAGGAATGACCCCTGTGTTCCTTATGCAGGATTCCTAACTTCTTGTTTGTAAGTTTGTGATGTCATTTACCTTTGTGTGGACCAAAATGAAAGAAAATGTGTGTGTATGCTCACGCACGCGAGAGAGAGAAAGAGAGAGAGAGAGAGAGAGAGGTGGGGGGGAATGGAGAACACCCACACAAAATAGTATGCCTTTTTAAGAGATAAATTTATTTAAAAGATTGATCTTTATTTCTTCCTTTTCTAGTTATCAGAATGGTCTTTCCTTTATGAAATGATGATCATCATAGATGATTTTTCCCTTCTACAATCTGAACATAAAACTTGGCACAGACCCCTGTCCCGTTGAGAAGCATTCCATAAAATACTTTACAGTACTATTCAAAATTATCTAGTCATGAAAAACAAGAAAAATGTTAGAAACTGTCACAGATGGAGGAAACCAAGGAGACAGGGTGACAGGGATTCTGGAGCAAGCAAAGGACTTTAATAGAAAAACTGGCAAAAGCCACATAAGTTTATACTTTAGTTAATAGTGATGTATCAATGTTGGTTTCTTAGTGTTGACAAATGTACTGAGGTTATGTGATATGTTAATGGTAGGAGAGGCTGGGTGTACGAGCTTTACAACCTTTCTATAAATCTAAAATTATTCTGAAATCAAAATTTTATTGAGACGAAAGGAAGACAAAAAATTGGCATCCCTGTCTAAGACCCCTTTGTTATAAAATGTTTTATTACTTCTTGAAGTCCCAAATCCTGGGAACTGTGGCCCCATAACATCAAGTACAGTGAATATTGAAAGTTTGAGAATTAAATCTCTATGGTGAACTGAATCACGGAATCATGATGATGTACACCTAAAAAGGCGAACTTTTAATACATGAAAACAAAGGGGGAAATTGACATGAGTCCCTCAAACCTACCCCTCTGTAAAGGCCCTGTGAGCCCTGCCCCTGCCCAGAAGCCCATTTGCGAATGAGCGTTTTTCAGCCATTTCATTCTTAAGCATCTGTCTTGACAACTTTTTTAAGTGGAGACTGTGCACTGCAAGGTAGCTGGTCCCTTAATGACTAGATGGCAGATACCACACTGCCACAGTCTTTGGAGACAGCATGCGTGTGCTACAAGACATATTTAGTAGTCAGTAACTCTGTTGGCAAGACGTATACCTGGTTTGGTGAAGAGTGTGAGCAGACTTCATTTGGGACAGCAGAGGGCTCTCTTGAGCAGTAATAGAGCAACCCAGTCACATGAAGCATGTAGTATTTGCACTGCATCCCCTAGGTGCAGATGGCTCCCTTTTTTGGTGGAAATTTGAGTAGTCATAGATGTTGGCAAACCATTTCCTCGCGGCCCTTTCAGTACATGCTAACGTAGAAAATAAAAGCATGGAAGCCAACACCTTGAACACAGTTTTATAGGATGTAGGTGGTGCCAGTTAAGAAGTTGGGCTGCTGATTACCTGGGGACCCGGGAGGAGTTTGTCTGAAGAGATTCTTCAAAAAGTTGAATCATGATTTGGGTTTGAGCAGGAAGGGACCTTTCCTGGCTCCAGGGCTCTCGAAGCACCTGGAAAGTTCTAAGAGAGCCTGCCATTCAGTTCACCTGAGTAGTTAGGTTTGGGAATATGATCATCACAGAACCTTGACGTGCATGTCAGAAATTTTAATCAGAGTGAAAAGCAGATAAGTAAATTTGGGAGACTTTTGGGAACCGAGAGCAATATAAAAAACATTAATAAGAGGAAAGTATGTCAGTTATTCTTTTCTTTGTAGTGAGACATTGTTGAGTGAGTAGAACTCTTGATTATCCAGCAAAGAAAGATCCCATGATCACATCATTTTGGGACCCTGACACTCTGAATCAGTCCATCACCCACTTCCCTTCCCTTAGCCCAGGAATCAGAAGGCCTGTTTTCAGCTTTGTATGCAATTGAAGAAGGACGTTTTCCTTGCCTGAGATAGCCAGTTTGCCTGAAGCCTTCGAAGCCAGCAGAGTCCTTGGTACCGGTGTGAAAAGCCCGGGTGTCCCGGCTGCTGTTGCAGTTCACATTAGGGCTCTCCTCTGAAGCAAGCACTGTGCTGGTGACACTCATTACTGCCACTATGGCCTTGGCATTTTCAAGGCAGTATGGGAGGGTGAAAATAGTTTTTAAAAAATATATTTTGGGGTTCATTGAGGGTACAAAGAATTAGATTACACTAATTGCATTTGTAGGTAAAGTCCATCTTATAATTGTGTCCTGCCCTGAAGAGGTGTGCCGTACACTGTGACCTCCCCTCTCCCTGATCCCTCGTTCCCCTGCCCCCCACCTTGAATTGATTTGAATTTTTCTCTTCTGAGGCTATGTGTTAGATTGTCTACTGGCTTCATATTAGAATCAAATACATTGGATTCTCGCTTCTCCATTCTTGTGATATTTTGCTAAGAAGAATATGTTCCAACAAAAATATGGAACGCTTTACAAATTTGCATGTCATCTTTGCACAGGGGCCATGCTAATCTTCTCTGTTTGTTCCAATTTTAGTATAAGTGCTGTCGAAGAAAGCACACGAAAATCGTTTTATTCTCAGACAGAAAATGTTGATTTAGATATTTGCTCTGCTGTTATTAACAGTGTAACTTTCATCCCACTAAGCCACAATGTTCTTATCAATAACATGTAGGTAATACTGTATTTCCAAGGTCACCTGCTTTGTACATGCTGAAAGGCAACGCAAATACAAGATGCTATTCATTTGGCAAGTCTTTAGTGCCAGCTGTATGCTAGACATTGTTGTAGATGAGTAAAAGAAACAAGTTCTTGCCTTCGGGGGGGGGGGCTAAGTTCTCTGGGTGAAGACAGACAAATGTGAAACTTGAAGACAAAAAAGCCAAAGGACAATGACAAACAGGTATAATTGACAAGTAAAAATTATATGTAGTCAAAGTGGACAACATGATATTTTAATATAAGCATACATTGTGGAATCAATTAGCCTATTAACTAATTAACATAGCCGTCACCTCACATGGTTACCTCTGTGTGTGCGTGTAGTAAGTTTCAAGTATACAGGACATTAGTATTAACTTCCATGCTAAACATTGGGTCTCCAGAATGTACTCCTGTCGAACCCCTTTTCATGTGCCTATTGGCCACTCATATGTCTTCCTTGGGAAAATGTCTATTCAGGTTCTTTGCTCATTTTTTTTAACTGTAAAGGCAACGCACAGAATGGGAAAAAGCATTTGCAAACTATGTTATCTAATTAGAGGTTAATCTCCAAAATATATAAGGAACTTGTATAAGTTAATAACAAAGAAAACCCCCCAGTGGCCCCATTAAAAAATGGGCAAAGGACCTATTTTTCGTTTGGTTTTTTAAAGGTATCTTACCTCCTGGAAGGGGGCAGCATGGCCCATGAAGACTTCTGTGGACACGTTGGTAGATTGGACCCAGGAGACCTACAGGTATGACCAAGGACAAGGAATTGCTGGTGTTTTAGTCTTTGCAGGTGTATGCTTGGTCCTACCCACTTCTCCATACACGTGCCCTTTCTACCCTCTTTCTATTATGTCCTTGATCTTTCTTTCCTTTTCTATGGCTCCTTCTACTCAGCCTGGAAACCTGCACAGTCATATTCCTGTCACATTTCCCTCAACCCTTCGATCGCTTCTTAGTTCCCACCCATCTTTTGTCTTACGTTTCTCATGTGTCAACTTCCTCATCTTCCATTTTGTCCCTCACTCACTGAAATTAGGGTTCACTTCGCAACACGCTCCTTCTAAACCTTTACCAGAAGCTATCTGGGTAATGATCATATGTGATGTCCCAATTGGCCAATTCAGAGACCATTTTTATCTTCATCTTTCTAGACTTCTCTGTGGCATTTGAGCCACTTTACTATTTGTCTTCCAAGTCATTTGCAGGGCTAAGTGTTGTCACGTAAGACCATGACCCAGACCCCTCCACAAATCTAGTTTTGTCTGAGATGTGTTACAATGAAAATCCTCTAAAACGTTTAGGTTGTCTTTTCCAGTTTTGTAAGTCTGCACTCCTCTATATCAGGTATTTTTCTAGGAATATGTATGTATGTATATATATATGTGTGTGCATATACATGTATGTACATACAGAGGGTGGCAAAAATGTATACATATTTTAAGAAAAGAAAAAAATTGTATTCTAATAGTAATACTCAATATATATCAATAACAAAAGATGAATGCAAGTATGTTGAGCACTTCTTGTGATTGCTGAAGTCAACTGTGACTTGAGTATCACACATAAAATACAGTCTTTTCCTTTCTTGATATCCATATACAGTTGCGCACACATACACACACGTAGTGGAATGCTAATTGCACGTATTGGAATCATGTTGTTTGAAACATGTTCATTGAATTTAAAGACAAAAAAGCGAAAGGACAGAGTTGTGACGAAAAGTCAAGAGTAACCTGTCAGTGGAGCAGAACGTGATAGACTGCCTACTAAGGTAGATATGATGAGTGGAGGTGTCCCGATCATGGCAGTCAGTGGTGACTTCTGCAATCCACACCATTAGACGCCTCAGCAGCTGCATGTGTGAGGAGGTGCTGGTCAACACTTCCTCTGTTGTTATACAGGAAGTCCCTGAGTTACACACATCTGACTTAACTACAGCTTGCACGTATGAATGGAGGCTATTACTGTAAGTCCCTGAGTTACAAACATCTGACAAATCAACCCTGCAAAATGATAGCTCTGCTGGCTACAGCCCCTGGGGCACGACTTCTACTTGTGAGTGGAGGCTATTACAAGTAATAGGTAAATGCACCTGTTCCGTCTTACATACAAACTCAACCTAAGAACAAACCTATAGAACCTATTTGGTTTGTAACCTGGGGACTGCTTGTAATTTCACATTTGATTAGGATGATGATTGCATAGTACCTTTCAGTTTATTCAGCATTTTCATATCATGATCTCTTTGAGATAAATGTTATCCTTATCTCATTTTTAAAACTAGGGAATAGGGGATTTAAAGTTGTTTAAAAACAAGATGCCATGGCCTCAGAGCTGGTAAGTGGGTGGGCTTCCAAATCCAATAGGTGGGCCATTTCAAGAAAGATAATTGGCAAACTAGCTTATATCTGAAAAGGATAATCAAGGTATTGAAGATACGAAGAAAGCTCTTAATGGAACAGGAAAATGCCTAAAATTTGGAGGATGTTTTTGAAGGACACCAATAGCTATCATTAGACAGAAGAAAGGCAGCACAAGAATTTAGATCTATTTTATTGTAGAGGGGGTCAGCACATTTTGTCTATAGCGGCCAAATCGGCTTTGGGGGCCATGTGATCTCTGTTGCAACTTCTCAACCTTGTCATTGATATCATAAAAGCAACCACAGATAGCATGTCAATGAATGGGCGTGTCTGTATTTCAGCAAATCTTTACAAAAACAGGTGGCAAACTGCATTGGGCCCTTAGACTGTAGTTTGCCAACTGCTACATCAGAAGGTTTAACAAGCCTTTTCAAGTAGGAGCAGAAACCTATTTCGACTTAACAAAAGGAAGAAATCTCTAAAATATGCATTGGTCTCCTTTCTAATCTTTGAACTAGTGATGCGCATTCTTGTCTCAAAGTTCTGTTTTATATGCTGTTGTTGCCTTCGTACAGAATCCTCTTCCTCTTCCCCTTCCCCTGGTCAGTTCTTACTCCTTGTTTGGATCTCAGCCTGAAGGTTCCACCCTCAGGTAAGCTGCCTTGAACTGGAGAGACCACTTCATGTACTCCCAGAACACCGTCATTCCTCACAGCACCAAGCACAATCGTACTGGCAGTAATTATTTGTGTACTTGTTCATGGAAGGATTTTTCTCTCCACGAGGGCTCTGTGGAAGGTGCTGTCTAGAGCCTACTTCCCAGCCCCTTGGCCCACCTCTGAGTTCAGGGGGTGATGGTTTCCATATGTGCACATAGCACCCCCTGTCAAGAGCTGTTTCTTTGCCTGAGGACTGCCTACAGCCCGGGTGCTGGGTGGCCTGGATGTGCAGGGGATTTAACACTCCCAGGGGAATTCCTGGTCAGTGAGAGATGGGAATCAGAGTCTAAATGCCTCACCTACCCTTCTCCTCTGTGTAACAATTCTAAAGTGCTTCCTGGTGGAATTGAGCCCCAGCTGTCCACAAATGAAACCTGCTTATTCACACTCCTCTTAGCTTTTGAAATCTGCTTATTCACGCTCCTCTTTAGCTTTCTCCCTTGCCTGTCTCACTGTCCCCTACTCACTCCCTTGTGCTTGCAGCATCACTTTCCTAATAGACTACCTGCTCCGAAGTCCTTGTCTCAGGATCTTCTGTGGGAGAACCCAAGCTAAGAAGGCTGGATACACATCTAACACGTTCCATCCCTCATCCCCAGATTCTGAGATTAGTGTCCAGGACTGGCCCCCTACTCCACTCTTAATAAAGAAATAGATAAACACGTGAAGAATATGCACAACACTAGAGGCAGTAAATGTTTCTCCAAGTAGTAAGGACTCCACTACTGGGCTGGAGTGAGCAGAGAGGCAAGTCGGCTGTCCACAGCGCAGTGGCTACCGGGCGCCTCCGAAGGTGGATTTCGGCCCACACGTGGGTCCTGCAGCTGCTGGGAATACTGGCTGCCGAGGCTCACAGCTGCATCCCTCCCTGGGATCTGCCCTGTGCAGCAGGGAATTGTCCCTCCCAAAGTTGTCCTTTCTCCTTGGGGGTGGCTCACAGTGAGTGGCTTGGTGATGTAGAAGGATAAAAACTTGGCCACCTTGCCTCAAGTCAGGACAATTCTGAAGCTTCATCCCAACTCCCCTTGGATTGGCTGAAGCCTCTGTTATAACTGCATTGCTGGTTGGCCTCTCCCCCTTCCTAATCCTGCTTTGCTCAAGTCTGTCTGTCTGCAACTCTCCATCTTAGAGCTCCATCTAAGACTCAGGGATATCGGAGAGAGCATTGTTCCATTTGTAGGAATCTCAGTTCTGATGCATTGATTTCAAGTGAGGAAGCATAGGAAGCATTTGGAAGACTGGAAAGGGCTCCACCAGGTGTCACTGATGTTTGTTATTTCTCTGGATGCCCCAGGACTCTGACAGCAGCACCTGTATGATGCCTTACTTAGTGACAGTATTGTAGTTATTCCACCTACAGACTTGTCAGGGGTATAGTTAACTTTCCTCCGTGTTGCTTTGATGTTTGCAGTGGATGACAGCAGGCCGGGGCATCCTGCATGCGGAGATGCCATGCACAGAGGAGCCTGCTCATGGATTGCAACTTTGGGTGAATTTAAGGAGCTGTGAAAAGATGGTGGAACCTCAGTATCAAGATCTAAAAAGTAAAGAAATACCAAAGCCTTCCAAAGATGGTGTAACCATCGCAGTGATCTCCGGGGAAGCTCTAGGGGTAAAGGTAAGCCATGCTGTGTGTCTGTGAAATCTGAAGCATGCAGAAACATAGGCTGGCCCCTTCTGGGTCACCAGCTATCATTGGGTATAACGTAATTCATGATCCCTGGGTTGGACTTGCTTCCTAGGTGTCAGAATAAGTGCAACCTAATGGAACCTACCAATTGTTTTGCTGCATAAAAACCTATAAAGTTAGGAAAATTATAAGAAAGCAAGTTCATATAAGGAATTTGGTCAAAAAGCAATTTTCAAGCTATGTCTTAATACAGGTGCCGATTTAGCTTAATTACTTTCACTTAATAGTGTAACTTTATGCTTGTAATTCTAGCTCCTTGGTACTACAGTACTACAAGATCACAACCTTTAAGAAAACAATGAAAAAGACAGACCAGTGACACTTCACAAAGCATTATGTAAATTACTTATGCCCAACTTAGTAAGGAAAGCACATTACTACATTACAGAAGGTTTATTTTTTAAAATTAACTTGGCCATTATTTATTAAACCCATACATGACATGCCCTGCACATCCTTCTAAATTGAGACTTTATACTGTTTAGGATAAGGGTCCCACCTTTTTGATCAAATGAGATAAAGTCAGGCAAAAGATTATGGACACACTTGTGGGAGGAAGGGGGTGTGGCAAGTACGGTGTTAACTGCGCACCAGAACTGCTTCGGGGTACTATGTTCTCTTAGGTGGGGTTTCCTAGAAGCAGACCCTGAGATGAGGTTTCCGACGCAAATGATTTTTTAAAAAGTACTCCTAGAATAACAGTAAAAGAAACCAGGACAAGATAGGAGAAGAAGCCAAGAAAGGTCCCATCTCAGGCTAAGTCCGGAAGACAGTGGCTCTAGCTGCATCCTGCAGGGGGCTGGGGCTGATCAATATGCCTCAGAGTTGTCCTGACCCACTGTGGGCAAGGGATCTGGGCTGTCACGTTTCCTCATCCGACGGTCATTGGTTACAGCCATTAACTTTGGGATAGAGGGCCCAGCAGTGGTTATAAGGGATCCAAGAGGGTCTGATTGGGGCCTTGACATCAAGTATCACACATGGCCCCTGGCATTGAGAGCATGAAGATGGTGGATGCTACTTTGCCATTCTCCCAGCTGGCAACCAGCACTTAAAAGGATTTTAAATATTAACTTATGTAAATTTTAATTTTTAAATCTGCCTCTGCAGGGATAATAGCTTGGCAATGACCACTTCCTAGCCACTCAGTGGACATCGTACAGTTAACAGATTGGTCATGATTATTGATCAGAACTTAATGGTTTTTGTGTTTCCTGCACAGTTTCCTGTGTTTCCACCACAGATCTTTACCTGTATCATGCCTAGGTGTATTGTATTATTTTGTTTTGTGTTTCTAGAACAAACAGAGTAATTAAAAGGAAGAACAATCAAAAGTTGTTCCCTGCTAAGCATATCTGACTGCTGTCCACACCCCTGGCAGGCCTAGAGCTTATGCTGAAGTTCAAACAAGCCTCTGTTGTGCTTCTCTGAGCTGTTGCTATTTCACTAAGGGCAGTGAGTGCCCCTTTTCAGCTGTTTGTGAAGAGCTGCCTTCCTCTCAGCTCAACAGGGGAGAGTTAAGAGCCTGTGAGGTCTTGCTGGCGTAAGGCCAGAGGATGCACGCGGCTGGGTGTAGAATCGGGCAGATGAAAACTAAGGGGAGCTGAGTTAATGTAGATGTGAAGCCACTCACTCCGCCGCACATGGTGTTTTGCATTCCACGTTTCCAGGACTCTAGGCTTCTGGGGACGTGCCTTTAGGGGATATTGAGCCATGTGAATAGTGAGGACAGCAGGTCCCCCACCCCCAATCCCCACCCCGCTCCACTTCCACTGGAGCACAAGACTTTGCCTGGTTGTGTATTTGGAATCGTCCATAAGATTTTATTTAGAAAAAGAGCGATTAGGAGCTGAAAAAAGAAATCAGACCCGTGTTTGAATAGCCAGGGAGAGGAAGCTTCTTATTTATAGAAGACATAAGGTGATTTTAAGGTTGGAGCTGGTTCCAGTTACAATCAGAAGGTCATTTTAAAGCACTTTCAAGAAGCAGACCATGTGGTCTTGCAATCACAACGCCAGATTAGAGGCCTGAGGTAGTGTTTTAACTTTGTAAAATAATGTCTTAGTAGCTGCAAGCCCCTGTTATTTCTTCTTGTTAAGTAAAACTTCTGAAGCGAGTCACATTCTCCTAAGTAAATGATAAATCACCATTATTAGAGGCCAGCATTTAATAATAACATCTTTCAGAACCTTGGGCAGCATTAATTTGGATTTGCAAAGGTAGCGAGGTGCTCTGGTTACTGGCATGCAGTTTAGAGACAGAATGCCTGGGTTAGATTCCTACCATAAACTAGCTGTGTGGCCTTGAGCAAGCCACTTAACCTCTCTGTGCCTACTTTCCTCATCCATAAAATAGGGTTTCTGTGAGGATTAAGTAACTTTTTCTCCATTAAGCTCTCTGAACAGCACTGGACACATTGTAAACACCATGTTAAGTGGTGGATGTTATTATTTTTGATTATTTGGGGTAACTCAAGCAGGAGCAGGGGCTGGGCTAAGGTTTATGTCTGTAGTCTGGGCCAAAGGGATTTGCTACAATTTGGGGAAAGTAATTAACCTGCCTTGAAGAAATGACACATTGCAAAGATGGGGAGCCACTGGCCATTTCTTTATAGGTCTCATAAGAAGCATAGTTTTGTACATCTGAAGCCTTAATCTCTGCTCACCGAGAAATGATGGGGTCTTAAAAGGTGTAGATCTACCATAAATGCAATCTGAAGGTTATTTTGCATCAGAAAGCTGATTTTAAGTTAAATTATGAGATAAGGCTGAGGAACATACTGTATATCTTTCAAGAGATTGATGTATTTATAACCAATCAACAACTCCCCTCCCTACAACAAAAATATCCAGTTGGAATTAGTAATTAGTGGAAATGGAATTAGTGACCATTCCAGCGCTTCTCTGACTTTAGTATTCACGTGGATTACCTGAGGGTCTTGATAAAATGCAGATTCCAAATCAGCAGGTCTGGAGTGGGGGTCGAGATTCTGCATTGGTAACAGGTTCCTGGGTGATGCCCGCTGATGCTGTTGTCCAAGGGCCACTCTTCGTAATACTCATGGGTTTGGGGGCCACCTTGAGGACTAGTTTGATCAGGCTCCTATAAAAGATGTTAAATGGTCAGTCTGGTGCTATGGCTTTTGGCAAATCTTATTTAACTTTCTGAACTTCACTTCCTACATCCACAAAAATGGTGAGGGGTTTTTGTGCAAGGTACTGTATGCCTTGACAAGCAAACAGCACTGTCTTTTTGATATTCCTGAGGATAGATGTATCCGGGTTTCCTAGGCTGTGTGTAGTCTGAGCATTTATTCAGTCTCGGCAGAGCCATCGGCCCATTCTGAGCAAGATTCTACCAGGACAGCACAGTCTAAAGTAAAGGCCAAAAGGGGAGAAACTATAAAAATGGGATAGTTTGAATAGTTTCTGTCACTTCTGGAAGGTTAAAAATCACAGTTTATTTCATGAGAGTATGAAGGTCTCCAAACCCCATTCCATCCTTATCAGTCAGCCAATCCGCAATATTTATTACCAACTCTCTTTGGAACATAGTTCTTTTTCCAAAAAACCGCCTCTCCTTGCCTTTTGCTGCTCTAAATTCCATTGTCAGAAGCAAATGTTGAAGAGACCTCAGCCCCACTGGGGTCAGAGAAAGGCAGTCTGGAGCCAGATGGCCTGGGTTCACTGACTCACTCTGGAAAAGTCCCAAGCTTGCCGGACCTCAGTTTTCTCATCTAAAAAACGGAGATGATGCTAATGACCCAGCTCAGAGGGATGCAGGGAGGATTCAATTGGTTGATATCTCTAAAGCACTGAGAACGCATGCAGAGTAAGCTCTCTATAAGTAAGCGGTTACTATTTTTACTTCCACAACAAGCTTTGGGTAGTGTTCATGTGTCCTACTGACTCAACAAAAGCAGTCTTCCTTCTGATGGGCGGGCCAATACAGTATTCATGTATTGGATAACTAAATTTCTCAAAATGTAATCTTCATAGGAGTTTGCTAAACATTTGATGTAATTCACTCGACTTTTACTTACTGCTGTGCCTTTAGCACCTGAAACATACATAAAAGATGATCGCTAAATATTTCCCAATGAGTAAATGAAATCATTACAGTGTGAATGGATGCCGGAAGCAGAGACGCCAAGGTAAAGTGATGAGAAGATAGACAATATAGGGATTAAGAAATGACTGAAATGAACTTACTTAAAAAGTTAAGAGAACGATACAGTTAGCTAAATTATATGTTAAACTGTTTACGGATTAGGTTGTGGGGAAATAAAAACTAGACTGATTGTTTTCTTTAAATGTGAACTGTTTTTGCAAGACCTAAAATATCCCCTGCACGTTTCTTTGCTTCAGGCAGCGACAGCGTTGGTGAGCAAGGTTCCGAGGCTTGTGGTTCCCCTTGGGGGTCCACAGATAGGTGTCTTTTTGTCTGTATTAGCTTCGGCCATGGGGCCTTTCAGGGCATGGCTCGATTTGGAGCATAATGCCAGCTTTCTGGGGTGTTTCTATCAGATATCTCCCCTCTCTTGCTTTGGGTTAGCTCTACAAGCACTGGCAGATCTCTCCCGGCCCCAAAGCAGCCTACCTGCTAATCAGCCTGTAAAGATCACCCGAGTGGAGAGCCGACGGAGGCTCCAGGCCATTAGTGAACACACACACTTTTTCCCACACCGGAGCTAGAGAGAAGTGGCTGCCCACAGCATTTGCTGGCTTTTGTCTTCATCCAGGAGACTTTAGGAGCAGGATATTATTTGAAACACTTTTATCCACAAAATATAATTTTGTCCATATTCCTTTTACCTTGATAAAAATATACTTTATGTAGCCTTCCTGGAAATAGTTTCATAGCACATGCAAACAGCAATTTTTTTTTTTTTTTGGCAGTCATCATACTGGATAGTAAACTTGGAACAC